GTTCAATATTTCGTAACGAAGACTTGTCTTCTGAAAAAAAAAATTTCATTGTGAAAATAAATGGAATATTGCAAATTCTATTATAAGGCAAAAACTTCTTTTCTCTGAATAAACCAATACAACTGTAAGCGAAATCTAACACCAATGTAATTTTCAACTTTTTATGAATTCGAGACTTGCAAGCGACGTCACGAGGGTCAACCTATCAGGTTCGACTCATCACTGGCAGTTATCCAATTAAATCTGACGATTGATTCATAGAGAAAAAATAATTATCTCCTTATAGCTGTAACGTTTACGCGCCATGCACAACCACGTAATTATACACTACCACGTGATTAATTGCAACGACCCAATTAAAAATAAAAAAATATTACTTCCCTTAACGTTTTTAATTAATTTTCGAAAGGTAGTTGAATTAATTACTAGTCTTTTTTTAAAAGTTAACTGATATTTATGATTCTTACTTCTTAATATTAGCTCAGAAATTTTTTTATTTGTATCCCTATACTTATTTAAAATCAAGTATATGTTTTCAGTGCTGAATCGAATGGCATTTATTTTTTAAAGTCAAAAACATTTTCCAAACCGTTTTTCTTTCGTGTGCATTCTACTTGCGCATTGTACAGGCATTTTTTTTTCTTTTTCGAAATCATGATGAATGGAATAATTTCTAAAATTTAATGTACATAAGGTTTATTTTCTGATTGGTAAATAAAAATTTTGGATAAATTAATGTACCTTTGACAGAAATTAGAACTGTTGATACAGCAGAACCAATTTCATTTTCTAAATAGCAAGAATATATAGCGCTATCGTGTTCATCCGCTCTGTGTATTTTAAGTCGGCATGTTCCTTTATGGTTGCTGTAAACATCCAATCGTAAATTTGTCTCTATCCTCTCAGCATTCTTAAACCTAAGGAGAGAAATAATAACTAAACTATTTCATTTTTAACGTGTATAGTCGATATTAAGCCTAGAAATTTAGATTTTCACTTAGTAGTCTGTGGCTGGTAGACACTCAGTAGCCACTTTTTCCTTAAACCTAATGAGTCGGAGACTGATATTTTTTGGTCCTTTTTATTTGATAGCCACTTTTTGCAAATTTTTTTTTCTCAGATTAAATTATATAATTTTTAAAAACAATTCATATTAGAAATAATCTACGGCTATATTGAAAGTTAGTTACAATAAAAATAATATAAATATGCGGCAAAATTTAGTTAAACATACTGACTTTAAAAGACTTTATTTAAAAACATTGGGGGTGGCAAAATATATGTTAAAGAATTCTCTTTTCAAAGAATCTTTCCAACAGAAATTGATGGGATCTAACGAATCAAAATTTTGAATGGAGATATTTGACATTTTAGAGAAAATTCTGTTTTCCAGAGACTTTCAGCATTGATGTACTGTTTTCATTTAACAATTTTCCATTAAAAAAAGATGAAAAAACAACAGACTTGAGAAAGTGACCGGTTGTTTACTTAATTTAACTCGCCACTTTTTTTGTTAACTAGTCAGGTGGTGAGTGGTTATTTTCTGGTTTAGTCGATATTTTTAATCGATGATGTTTCATCACATAATAACTGTTACGATAAAGTACTGTAATTAGGGTGAAAAATTCTCAACGTAATTACCAAATGACGTTCGGAACTGGTGTGCCAGTCACTTTCCATTCGAGAGAAACCGTTTCTCCCTCAGTGGCGGTCACATCATCAGGGCAGTCCAAAAATTTGGGCTCCTCTGGGCTGTCTTCCCTTTCACCTTCATATTTAGAATAATAACATTTTACATTTTTAAGTCGAAAATAAAAACAAAAACACATATAATTACACAAAATCAAAACAATATCCACACTAAAATTAATACGGAAAAAGTAGAGGAAACTACTAACATTCAATTTATTCAGCTTATGCTTTGCTTTCTTATACGGATGTTACATGAGTCATAAACATGGAGCTTTACATAAAATGTGGTCCCGCTGTGGACTGATCGTTAAGA